AGAATTAAAAATAAGAAAAGAAAATATCAGATAACCTTGTAAAAACATCAAAATGCATAATAAATCAGTAAATCGTCATTTACTAATTTGTTATTGATCTTAGTTTCTTAGCTTTATATAATGGTTGGGAATAAGATAATAGTCTAGAAATATGCATTAATGCTTCTTTTATCATTTTCCACATATTTCATAATATTTCCACATATTTCATAATATTTCCACAATGTTTCTAATTTTTACAATATTTCCCCTAGACATTTCCGACATATGTCCTATATTTTGGTAAGTGACATTTTCATCGACATCGACATTTTAAACCTTGCTTAAACCTTGAGATCCCTTAAAGAAGTCAACCCCTGAACCATTTGCAATTACTAAATAATGACTTGTTTGCAAGCAAACTCTAATCCAATTACACCATAGCTCCCCAAAGCCACAACTTCTCATGATATTAAGTAAGAACTCCTAGTCCACTAGATCATAGGCTTTCTCTAGGTCCAGCTTGATTGCAATTCCCCTTTTCCTTAATAAATCTTTTCTGGACCTCCCTACACTCATTAGCCATTAAGATTTGGTCAATTATTTGCCTATCCTAAATGAAAGCTCCTTGAAATTGGGAGATAAGAAATAGAAGGAAGCACCGTTTTGATCTTCAAGGACAGCACCTTAGCAATTATCTTGTAAAGACTAGTTACTAAAACTTCAATTGCAAAATATTACATTTTAAAGACCGCCTAATGAAGGCAAGTTCAAACCAATGATGACCTTTGATGTTAACCAATAACAAATTTAAGCAACTAAGGCATAACAAATAGAATTTCAAGAATGGTGGCAGTTTAAAATGCATACCTTTCAGTCTCGAATTTCTTTCTTGTGTCTTTTCAGAATGAATCCTTTCTAAACAAGGAGCAATCAAAGTATCCAATTTGACCAACCACAATGCAACTGCAGATGTTGTTTGGGGCATGGTAGGAAAGAATACAATGATCTCATCCACAGTAGCATTACAACATAGGCTGGAGCTGCATTGACTCAACCACTCCACATTGATAGCACCAACAAAATCACCAAGAACCTGCATTGATATATGGAGCCTCAAGACATGTTCTAGAAATTAGAATAGGCAAAATGTATGAGAACAGTGTTAAGAACCCAAATCAGAACAATGAAAACCTGCAACAGCTCAGGTAAGGATGAGGTGCGTCTAAGCCGCTTGACCCAAAGCTTGTGAGCAGATTTTTTCCATGCACCCAGTAGGGCATCTTCAGGCATAACTGACTGTATGCATAATTAATAACACAAAAAAACCAATTATTCCAACAAATTTATATAGAGAGAGAAAAATGAATACACATGATAGTTGCACTGTTTTGCCACCTCAATCCCACTCACATGCTAAATATCAATAGAAGGGATCTCCACCACGGGAAAAAGAGCTTTTCTCCATTTAAAACTTTTTTAAGGAGAAAGAAAACTTCTTCCCATAGATTTAAGAAATGCAATGCAAATTGCAGTTTACATCAGAATGTCTAATGAAATAATTCATTATAGGTCTGGCATGTGAATGTATGTATATGTACAGGACCTACAGGTAGGTATGTTTGCTTGAGGACATTGAATTTCAAACCAAAAAAAAGAACACTAACTTTAAATAATTCGAGAGTAAATAAATACAAGCAAACACAAGAAATTATGTAGGAAAAAAGCCCACCTCAATTGCATGGATTGCAGCTTTGAGTGACTGCAACTGTGATGATAGAACTTTATGATTCGGCAGCATACCATTGTCTTTTTCTCTGCATGTGCCAACATGGATAGTATATCTTTCTTCAAGTTCAAAGTCTAGCTCAAATGTTGTATGGCATATTTTACAATGTTTTTCATCTCTCCAATACAGGTCATGACAACTCTCACAGCGAGCAAGTGAATCCACATAAGATCTTTTTCCATGTTTTACAACATTGAGATCTAAGTAGAAAGAATTCCATATCCATGAATCAAATGCTTGAAGACGGTTCCATTTTTGTCTTTGTTCTTCTATCTTCTTTCCAAGTTCAAGAACTATGGCAGCAGATGAAGGTAAAGAACCATTTGCAGTCTCTGTAAGACATAGATTATTGTCTATATCCGAGACTGGAGAAGAACCTTCTACACCTACGCTATCTATCTCAGATTGATCAGATTGTGTTGATTGTCTTGCTTCAGTGTCAACTGCCATTTTATTGGACATAGCTTGGCAAAGAAAAGTTCCCCGCTTCTCCAGAGATGCAAGAAGATGAGCTTCCCGTGCACCTCTACGGTCCAATACTGAAAGCAATGCACATAAAGCCTGCAATTGCTTTCGGTCAGAGCATGCAAATTAAAAAAAAAAAAAAAAAAAATGTGTGCAGACATAAGAAAGCGTTTCCCAAACCAAGCAACCAGGTAGTAAACCCACAGCTCAGGATAAGAGATCATCCAAAAACCTAATGAAACCATGTTTTCATCAATAAGTTTACAACCTAAGAAGCTTTATGAAAAAAAAAAAAAAAAAAAAAGATGAAAACAAAACAAGAAGCACATGGAGGAGCATATATGCAATTAATTCTCAAGAGGAGTTTACCTCTTCTGTATCAATCACCTCCCAGTGACCATCTTCAGAAGACTCAAAATAGACCCTCCTGTGGCCTGGATCACTTTCATTACATGGGCCCAAGAAAAGCCAATATCTATTGTACCTACGATCTGATCCTAAGTAAACTGATTGCAGCGGATGCACATCAGATCCCACCATCTCTGTTGCTTCTGCAGCCTTTGCCTTGGAACAAGAGGTTCTGCTAGAGCATTTCTCCTTCCGACAAGTCTTCAAAACTGTTGTGGAAGAATCAATTGGAAGAACTTCCAATGGTTTATGTGTTTCCCTGAAGCCTGATTGAGGATAGATGGCAACTGCCAGATTCTTCTGCATTGCTGATGATCTCTTTATTTTGGCCCCAGAACCATGACACCAGGAATCAGGAACAGTAGCTGTTCTAACTCTTGTGTGATCCTATAAAAAGTAATCATGTCATGTGAATCAATGAACACCACAAAACAGATTAAAAGTGTTACGTCATATCCATTATTAGTGATAGATCATTTAAGTGGCTACTTAATGATATGGAAGTGAGATTTCAGTAGGTGCAAAGGGAATCAAATAGCATGGCTGATTCTCTAGCTGAACAAGGTGTGGGGAGAGAATCAAATATTCTGTGCATAGTGTGAACAAAGAAATAGTAGGTAGGAGATAGAGGCTTTATCTCCTAAACAATCTGTATGTACATTCATATACCTCTTTTTGTTCTTGATCAAAAAATAAAAATAAAAACATGTAGTACTTAAAGGGGAAAAATGAAGATAAAAAAAGCACCTAGCAGGAGCAACAAGGAGATAAATGGGATTCCTATATTCATTTACACAGATTAAGCAATAATAATGTATTGATCTCAGTGTAGAGATACTATGGACTGACTTGGTTGGGAGCACTATTTGGGAATCTGCTAAATTTTTATGAACCCAGTGCAAGAGCCCTGGACTGACTTGGCTGGGCTTGGGTTGAGAATCTGCTAAATTTTGAATGGCCCCAGCCCATGGTCCCTCGACTGAAATAGTGTAAAGTCTTCAAACTGGGTACCCGAATTGCACCATTAGTTCCAGTCAATGTTGTCAAACTCATACGAGACATAAAACCTTTTTGGTTACTAGACCATGGGTCAAAGAGTCAGACTATCTGGTTTAACCATTGGACTCACTCAAATAAAAATCCAAGAAAAAAGAAAAAAAAATGGTTTGAGATTATATCAAAGATAAAACACTAAAGATTATAGGTTATACACCCTGAAGGTTCAGCCATAGAAGGACTACCTAGAGACTGTAATTGATCTTATACCCTTAAGCATAAAACAGGAGCAGCACTACAAGGTTAAGGTTGGTAAGATCACTAAGATAAATGTTGGTTGAAAGGGATTCTAAAGTAGTGGTGGTTGGCTGAAGAACAAGCAGCAAAGGCTAGGGCAATAATGGAGGTAGAAAGAGAAATGGAAGCAAATTGGTACCAAGTTGCACCCTTAATAAGAAAATGTAGATCTATATTATGAAAGAATAATATTGCAAAAACAGTATAATAATTGGAGATTTTACCACTCCCACAGAGCTGGGGCCAACATTGGGTAATGGCCTTTAAAATACACAGTGCATTAGGCATTAGCTCAATAGGTAGGTCAAGTTTTCAAAACAAAGGTTGAAAGTCTTGTATGTCTGAATCCTACAGAGGTTATTTTAACTGTTTTAACACTAAATGCCATACTAATAAACTAGCAATATGGTAAGTCACTGGTTCAAACATCAAGTTCAAGATTAACTTGTCAAAACATGACAACTAGACAGGTGAGGCACACCCCACAAAATGAGCCTCGCTTTTGAGCCTTTTTAAAACACTGATCCTGCGCCCTTGATGGAAAGGGGGCTTCAGATCACACTAATTTCATTACTTAACAAAGAAAAAGTGGAGAAATAGGTAATCATAATTGAACCAAAAAATAATAATAAAATGAAGATTTCAAAATAGAAGCTGAAAGAGAAGTCACAATTACCTCCATTCTTAAACTAGATCCAGCACTAGCAAGATCAACCAAAGCCACTAAAGCATTCAGCTTCTCTTCAATGCTTAGATCAGAATATTCACCTTCCATCAACCCTAACACCCACATCTCCCCGGAATTGCTTTCATCAATTTCAGTATGTAAAGTCAACATATTATTCATCCTTTTACGGTGACCCTTGTACCTAATTATACTTAGATTGTTTGTTGCTGAATCTAAGTCAGAATCATCACTACTGTCACTTGAGCCATTTTCGTCTGAGTCATAATCAACACTTCCAGAGTCCTCAGATTCTGATTGAAAATCTTCAGCTGCCATTGGGACAAGAGGATTTATCCGAAGACGATATGCAAAAGGTGATATCTTCTCAAATAAGGTAATGTCACTTGAAAGAGTTGAACATATTAGATGCTCCAGTTCATCAGTTGTGCTGGTGAGATTTAATTCAACAATCTTCATAACCAAAAAAAAGCAAATTAGTTGCACACTTTTCAAACTTCGTTTACACTGTTAACCTCATATTTCTCTATACATTCACTTCAATCTATAAGAAACTTGCCTGAAGAGCTTTTGCCAACTCAGAAACTTTCGACCCACTAGCACCTTGCTCGGACAGAATACTAAACAATTCACCCTTCAAGGTACCAGAACGTAAACCATATCTTGCCATACCATTCCCCTCCTAGAAAATACCACTAATTAAAATTAATGCAGAAAACAATTCCACACCACATTTACAAAATTATTCCTTGAAAGACTTTAAACCCCAATTTCTAAGATCAGTGACAAAAGAATGATCAAATGGATACAATAGGCATAAAAAGGGGGAAATGCAAGAAAAAATGCAGCCAGAGAGCCAATAAAAGATAACAAAAACAGGCCACACAAAGAACTGAACTCCCTAAATTCATTAACAAGCAATCCTTTGGCATGTACATATACCTGACAAAGACTTGACAGCAAAATATGAGAAGCAAGAAATAGTTCCAAAAGTGGATAATCCACTCATTATGCAAAATAAGCATCACAGAAGACAATTATGCAACTTTTGAGATACTTTTTTTCATATTTATATTTTACCAGGAATTGATTTCAACTGTTACAAATTTACAACTTTTTGTTAAAAATGAAGAAGAATTTGTCTTAAAGCAACAAAAAAAAATAATGAACAGGCCCATTTTTTATACGTAATTTCAGAATCATAAGGGCACCTAAAAAAAACAGCTCAAGAACTAAAAACTCATACTAATCGTGATAAGTCATAAGTGTACTTATCATGTGGTACACAGTATACAAACAACAACCAAACCTCAAAATGAAGGCAGGCCACTTAAATGTGTTTTCCCCAATCTCTTCTCGATTGCAGAGAATAAGCAGTGTATAATCATAGATCACTATGATCTCATCAATGGGCAGGTTGTTTGGGGCCCAAATTTAGAAGAAACCTCCAGGCCTGGAAGCACAATGAGATAGAGGCACTGCTATCAATAGTACAGGATCACTCACCTACTTTTGGGAGAACTGGCAGTATGTTGTGGAACTGGGAACAGTCTGGGGATCTTCTGTGTTAAGTCCTATGCTAGTCCGATAGTCTTGGCTTGTACCAGAATTTTTGCCACAAGATGATTTGGGTGCTGGACCTTATTGGATGTGGATCATATCTTATGTAACCAGGCTCTGGAATCTATTAATCATCTATTTTTTTCATTGTCAGTTCGTCTGAAACTGTAGGTTTTTTATTTGAAGATTATAAACTTTAGCTGGGCTTGCCCCCAGACTGGGGTGGATTCGAGCCAAGCCAAGCTGAATATTTGGCTATTTGAGCTCAAGCTCGACTCAGTTCAAAGCTCGCAAGTTCGAGCTTGACTGCAAGCCAAGTTTTTTTCTAAAAAATAAAAGTATACATATAAAAACATGTTTTTATTGTACATACAAAAAATAAGAATTATAAAAATTATTTACTATTATACATAAAAAATAAAAATATTAGATATAAAATATTATTATGTATATAATAAAAATTATTATATATGTATATATATATATATTTATATGTATATGTATATGTATGTATATAATAAAAAATTATTTATTTATTATACTAGGCTCGATTAGGCTCATGAGTCGAGCTTCACTAGGCTTGCGCTCGACTCGATTAGCAAACGAGCCTATATATCAGGCTCGAAGCACGGTTTAAACCAAGCCAAGCAGAGCTGTTCATGAGCCAAGCTCGAATAGCTCATAAGAAGCTCAGCTCGTGGCCACCCCAGCCCCAGTCCCTAATGGAGCAACTACAAGGATGAAAAGGTGATGGACCTAGTAGAAGAGGGCAGAGGGTATGGAAGCTCGTCTCTCTTATCATCTGTTGGAGGGTTTGAAAGGAGAGGCAGAGGAACAGAAAAATGCTCAAAGGCAAAGCAGTGCAAGGACATGAGATCCTTAGAAGCATCGCAACCACAATTTTTCTGTTCGCTTTTAATTGTAACTAGTCACCAGGCAGTTTCCTTGTTTTTTTTTTTTTTTTGAACTTCACTTTTCCAGCTGTATAGGTTTTTAGTACAGATTCTGCTGAGGTTATCTCTGTAAATTCTTTGTAGATCTGATCCTAATGCAAATTATGCAATACTTTTCATTTCTTCAAAAGAAAAAAAAAAAAAAAAAAGTTGATCAATAACAAAGGATTTCATTAATCAATAAAAAGAGTAAAAAGAGTACAAAGGGAGGGGATAACCTCTCTTATCTCCCCCAAACAAAAAACAGAAAGATTACAATTGAGCCCAAAACAAATTCCCCCTATTCACCCCTTTCTTTGCTAGCCCATCAGCAAGGGAATTAGCACATCTCTTAACCCAAACCACTTTAACTTCCAGGTCTTTTATCAGCCATTGGAATTTCTTCAAAAGAAATCATGATCAAAATATAACTTAATAAACATACACATTTCTGCATATTACAAATATAAGGGTAAGAACCATGATCAGTTTCCTTGCTTTTAGTCTGAGTGGGATGTTACTTCTAATATCATATGATAAGACGATGCAAAAATTTTTTTGATTAGATAATGCAAAATAAGAGAGTTGTAAGTTGAAATGCTACAAAGTGAAAAATAAGCATGCAAAAAAAAATAGAGACTAGTGAATAAAAGGCACGCTTAGGCACTCAAGCGAGACGCATTTTAAAGTATGTGCCTTACCTAGGTTCTAGGAGCAACACTTCCAAAAGGCGCTCGCCTAGTGCACCTAGGTGTGCATCTGGTGTACCTTGCGCTTTAGCCCAGCCATGTGCCTTCTTAATTTTTTGCACCTTTTGTTCTTTTTTGAACATAACGGCTGGGCCGGGGGCTTCGCTCGCTCACTGAAGCTCCAAGAACCCCCTATTTCCTAATGTTGTTCATTCATTCATCCTAATAAAATGTCTTCTTAAAAAGCAATTAAAACTATAAAATCATTATTTTTTGTGTGAAAACTAAGAATTTAAGACCTAATGTGAACTTGTTTGGACTTGCCTCGAGGGGCGTGGCACAAAAGCGGCTCGTAGAATCATGGTTTCAAATGTCGCCAATGTTGCCCGACATATGTCGATGTCGAGGCTCACCAACATGAAAGTGGATGGTAATATAAAAATTACATTGTGTCGGTCAACATTTCCTATATTTCAGAAATGTCGACCAAATCGGTCCAAACAACCAAAAAAAATACAGTTTTACCTATTATGTCAACAAGATATCGACAAGATGTCGACAGGATGTCGACAGGATGTCAACTAATGTACATTAAAAATATAATATATTAGTATATTATAATAATATAATACAGTATATTAATATAGATTATTCCATTAATAATTTCTATTTAACATTTCAATTAAAATATTTATAAAAAGAATTAACAAAATATAAAAACAAAAGAATGAATTAATTACTTTATAATATAAAACATAAAATATTTTTCAAGTAATAAAATATTAACTAGTTAGTATTTTTTAAAATATTTATTAAAATCAGAAAATGTTTATTAAATTTTATCATAAACCATATTCTACATTTAATATAAAAAATCAGAATAAATTTTATACTAAATCATAATTTATTATAAATTTAGTATTAAAAATCATAATAAATTCATTAAGTTTTATAAGAAATCAGAATTTATCATAATCTTAATACTACAAAAAGGAGAATCAGTTTATTAAATTTATAATAAAACATAATGTATTATAACTTTAATATTTAAAAAATCAGAATAAATGTATTTCTATTTACTAGTGTGAAATAAATATATTAGAATTTATAATAAATCAGAATTAAAAATAAGAAAAGAAAATATCAGATATCCTTGTAAAAACATCAAAATGCATAATAAATCAGTAAATCGTCATTTACTAATTTGTTATTGATCTTAGTTTCTTAACTTTATATAATGGTTGGGAATAAGATAATAGTCAAGAAATATGTATTATTGATTCTTTTATCATTTTACAAAATATCTTTGCATATTTCCACATATTTCTTAATATTTCCACAATGTCTCTAATTTTTACAATATTTCCCCTCGACATTTCCGACATTTCTGACATATGTCCTATATTTTGGTAAGCGCCAATTCCATCGACATCAACATTTTAAACCTTGCGTAGAATTAGGAATGTAATATGATTTACATTACATTAGCTACTTGAAGTAAAGCAATTGAGTGAAAAAAGAGATTAGGGGTTCTACATGCTTGAAAATGTTTTATATGTTTGATTTTATTTTTAAATTCTCATTTGAATATACTTTACATCTTATGTTTATGTATTTTAATTTTAGATAATAGGTTTTTTAAAACATATATTTTAAAATTTAAGCTTATATTTTTTTATTAATATTATGTTTAATGATTTTTATATTTTTTGGCATTTTTTTGAATTTTCTGACATTTTTTTTTATTTTTTAGCATTTTTTTGTATTTTTGCACCTTGCTTCAAAAAGGTGTGCGCCTCCCCTTGCGCCTTGTGCTTTTAAAACACTGGGCATGTATCCAGTCCACCCCTACCAAGACCACAGAAAGCTCAAACCAACAATGGACAAGGGTCCTTACATACATATATTGCCCTTTGTTTTGGTTATAAAGACCAAAGGCGTGTATGTAGTATATAGAAGTCTTTGTTGATATTGCATGGCATACAGCCATACATGCTTTTCGGAGTCAGAGGAGACAAATACATAGTTTCTGATTTGTCAATAGGACTGCTTTAAAGCAAAAAACCAAGACCTATAGAAATTCTGAGCAAAAGTTCATGCATGCATCTTCAGAAGAACATGACAGCATTAGTTATTCAAATAAATATCAAGAAATAAAGAACGAAAGACAAAGGAAAAAGAACATCAACAATGATCCAATGCCTTGTTACAGAAGGGATTTGCTTTATCAATTGTCTGATACTAGTTCTAGCAGATCAAGAAAAACACTACTACATAACAAAGCAGTAAAGTTCTAAATACCTTGTTAAGGGCTTCCTTTCGCAATGTACTTTGTTTCAAACCAAAACCAGCTGCAACCAAGATTTGACGTAGAACTTCTGTCCATGTAAGAGGATTCAGAGATTCATTCCAGAACTTCACCAAAAATTCTTGGTTTTCTACCTGTTAAATGAGAAAACATTAAAAACTCTGTTTAACTTGTCTGGAAGAACAGGAAGGGGCAGTACAGGGGAAGAAGAAACTTGAGCAAGTTACAAAGGTATAAACCCAGGATCCACACTTCAAACTGCCACTTTTCCCCATCTTGAAACACTCAAATGGGGGGCAAAGGAAATATTATGACTTGTAATATTCGTGAATAGTGTAGGTACTGGGTGGAAAATGTTGGAAAAAATGAATATGTTGGAATATGTTGATTTTCTATACTTTAACATGAAGTTTATACTTTTCTTATGAAAATTATGGATATTTATTAAGGAAATATGATTATGGAACCTAGGAAACTACCCTAGGATACATGTTTTTACTTAAAAAAAAATCCATCCCCTAAGCGGGCGCCCCCCTGTCGCCTAGCCTCGCCTCGGTGCCTTGAAAACTATATTGGAGATGATTTCAAAGGAGTTCTCTATCCAATAAATGGCAGAGATTTCAAATGTTCAGACTGCATAGAATCTTCCATGTGTATACAGGAACACCCCAATGTGGCAACAACTTCTACACTAAATCAAATGAAGGTACCATATAATTAGTATGAGGGGTTCTGACAACATAAAACATTTCCTCCACATAACGTGAGATTTAAGTCCAGAATAATGTAACGCTCGCAGGTTCTCAAATTCCACAGGTTGAAGGGAAAAGTTAGGAGCATTGATTCAATAAGATCTTTACAGGCAGACATTGTTCCATTCCCCTATCTACTTACTCCACGAACTAAAAGGGAAAAAATGGAGTATTGCTTTGAGAAGCTCTTTAGAGGCCAACTTTTGACCATTCCCCAAATCCACAATATGTGACTTCACCATTTTTCTCCAAGAGGAAATTAAGAACCAGTGGATGAGGAATGATGTGGCAGGATAGATGAGATACAAACTAAAGAAGTTAAAAGTTCAAAAATAATACCTCATTCAGAAGTCCCTGAAGAGAAGACCACCAATACAGACAACTTCTCCCAACATTTCCCCAAGTAATACTATCAATGAACAACTAAGCTGACCTTGGGATCCATCTCAATGGATATGTTCAATCTTGAAGGCAAGGCGTCCACCACCCTGCTATGGTAAATGTTTACCCAAAAGCAATCAGAACCCTCTCTAACACAGCGAATAATTGTCTGTATGACCCTCCATCTCTCTAGAATCAAAGCCCACAAAGAACATAAACCTAAGACCATGATGAAGTCCCAGAAGCTTGGATCTAAATGAGCCTCCCTGTCCAATTTGGCCTTAGAAAGGATTAGTATAATCTCATCTCTCCACCCACCCTGACCCCCTTTTATCTCAATGACCTCTGTGTACACACCCTACTCTTGAAAGCCCCAAGCTCCCAAGGGAGCACACATCAAACTTAAGTGTGAGTTCTCCTTGAGAAGAAAGGGAAGTGACCAACTATGCATGCTAGAATATGTGTAAATTAATTTTCTATAAATTAATTCTCTTTCTTTCTTTTCATATGTGGTGTGCATGAGGCATGTACCTCTACACACCTCATGCAAAAGGGAAGGGAAGAAGAGGGAAAGAAAGTTTGGGACAGGGGCTCCACCCCTAGAACCCCCCCCCCCAACACCTTTTTAATACAGCCCAATATGGGTTTTTTTGGGCTAGGGTTCCACTAGTGTTATGCATCTTCATTCTTCTTAATATAAAACATTTTTCATAAAATGAAACAAAAAATAAAATGAGACCCCCATCCTCTTCTTCTTCATCTTCTTCCTCCTATTAAGGAGGCTTACGCCTCTTAAGTTCTGAACCATTCATGCCTTCAGGTAGTGGAATGCCCCATGTCACACCTCCGCATTTTAAAACATTGGACTGGTTTAGGGAGGGACTTAAATTTGTGTTAAGTCTAATAGTCCTTACCATTTTTGAACTACATCAGCTATTAGTTGTTGTATTTCTAGTCCATTAGTAGAACTTGGGAATGTATGGCATTGCATGTCTATAATGAATAAAATTTTGTACTACTATTTCTGATAAAAAATGCATGCATGTACATAATACGTGGTATATTTGCTGTTTCTTTGTATATGATAGGGGAAAAGGATAAGCCCTGGTTAATGTTACTTGCAGTCTTTCAAACCATCCTATGCCACCATTCAAGAACTTTAAGAAAAGTTTCTTCAAAACCTATGTGGATCCAAATGGCTATCAATCAAATTACATTGGAAACCTCATATAAAAGTAGGTAAAGATGATGACTAATAAAATTACATTAATTGTCCAGTAAGAAAACAGCAAATGTACATAATTATTGACACCTGAGATGGCTGCACATCATATGCCAAATTAAGCTTACCGAGTGAAGAAACCAAAGGAATCTGCAGTCTTTACTCATGCGAGGAAGATATCCATTACTAAGCTCTATTGCAACATCAGACAGAAGAAGTTTGAGTAGAGAAACATGAATTTTTCCAAGTAGCAAAGAGTCCTGAAAGCCATATATAAAAAAACATATATCATATAAAAGCAATCCAAAACTAACTTTGATGAAGTGTACCATATGAACCAAATGACTTTCTGTTTCAGGTAGGTCAAGCAAGCCAAGCTCAAAGATCCGATTTACTAACCTTGTCATGAAATGCTTGAGCAAACTCATCAAGAGTAAAGGGGCACAGTTCAATTGCCACAGAATGAGTGTACAAGAAATGAAAGACCTGCTCAAAAGACATAGTTAGCTTCTAACATCAAAAACTTGGATAAATTATTAATCAACATTATGGAAAGGATGTGCTGCAGGAGATTAAACCTAGATCAAATAGTCAGATAACAGGTTAATAAGTGTAGCATGTGTCAACATTTTTTTATCAGCAAAAAATTTATTTTATTAAATTAGTTATATGTGAAAACAGTACAATTTGAAGACAAGAATGTCATCCCAAATATCATAACTAGGTTACAAAGAAGCCCAGTACAAATGCTGCCTTGCAGCCCCTTGTTTAGCTAGGGAGTCAGCTAACCCATTTGCACTCCTTACCAACTATAATTCAGCATTTAAATCCTTTCAACTTCCCTAAAGACATGTTTGAGCATGCATGGGATATGTCTGTTATAACTCGGCTATGAAACAATTACTTTTGAATTCCCTTCCACCTTCATCTGTCTAAAACCCTGTTGCTTTGCCAACCGGAGACCATGCAGAAATGCCAACAATAAAGCCTTCATGGAATTCGCAGTCCCAATTGGCCCTGAATATAATGCTAAGATCCTGCTCTCCAAATTACTGATTGCTCCACCAATTTCTGCCATACTCGGGTTACCCAAGGAGCTCCCTTCAAAGTTCAATTTTACTTTGCTGCCTTCTGGGGGTTTCCACTCCACTCTTATTCTTTCTTTTTCTCTAGAGGACTGTGTTATCTCATTCCATGCCCTTAGAATGTGAGTAACTGAGAAGCACATATGAGGAGAAAGGCAAGAACAGGGCAAGAAGCACACATGTATTTACCTTTTCAAGGAATATTTCCCAACAAAAAGCTTGATTTTTTATGGGACAGGCTTACTCCAAATTTCTTTCATCGGGAAGCCCACCCCTCAAGATCTAGGTGAGGCAAGATGCTTGAAAAAGGAGGAGCAAGTGAAGAGTCCATCTAGGGAGATTACCCAAATTCTAGAATCTTCCAGGTTTGAGAAGAGTTGTGTAGTGGGTGTGAACTTGGAGGAGGGAGAAATTAGGGAGAGTGCAGAAGAGCTAGAGTGTGAGGTCTCAAGATGGCCATTGAATTACTTGGGGCTGCCATTGGGTGATAATCCAAAGAGGGAGAGTTTCTGGAATCCGGTGGTGGAAAGATTTGAGAAGAGACTTGTCTCTTGGAAAAAGAATTACCTCTCTCTTAGAGTAGGATGACACTGATTAAGGCTACTCTAGAAAATTTACCCATTTATTTCCTTTCAGTGTTTAAAATCCCAATAAGAGTTGCTAACAAGTTGGAAAAGATGATGAGAGACTTCCTTTGGGAGACAGGAGAGGAGAAGAGGAACCATAGGGTAATTTCCTAGTTTGGACAATGGTTCTGGATAAATGTTTAACTAGGGTTAACTTGGAGAGAAGGGGTGTTCAGATTCTTGATCCCTCCTGTGTTTTATGTGGATTTGATGTTGAATCTACAGAGCATTTGTGTATTCACTGTCCGGATTCCTCTTCAATCTGGGGACAGTTTTTCAAGAAACTGGAGGTTTGTTGGTCTATGCCTAAAGCTGTGAAGGAGAAGCTAATGGGTTGGAGATTGGAGGGTCTTAGCAAAAAAGGCAATCTTGTTTGGAATACCATTCCGCAGGCTGTTCTTTGGTCCATTTGGACTGAAAGAAATAACAGAATTTTCTGCAATGAATCTAAAAGCCCAGAAGAGATAGTGCAGAAAGTGGTGGGGAAGATTTGTTCCTGGGTGTCGATGAATGAGGAGTTTAAAAATCAGAATGTATCTCACTTACTTTGTACTAAATCATGAATGTTCTTATAATCTGTTTTGGGTCCAGGTAGACCTAGTGGCCTAGGCCTTGTAATCCTCATTCTCTCTGAATAAATTACTTTACCTTTTTCCAAAAAAAAAGAGGAACCATAGGTTAAGTTGGAAGGTGGTGACCATGAGTAAAAACAGTGGTGGGTTAGGGCTTGGGAACATTAGAGAAAGGAATTTGGCTTTTTTGGGGAAATGGTTGTGGAGATTCCCACTAGAGAAGGAGAAATGGTTAGACAGTTATGCCCTTAGCTCCAATCAGATTGATGTATCTTTTGACATTTATTGTAAATGAATAAAGTAAATAATTGATTCATGTCATTGTGGTGTGTTTTTGTGTAATACCCTTAAACTAGACACTTATGAGACTCGTGTTAGTTTAGAATCTTCAAAGTCGTTGGATAGATCTGGGGAGATTTATCCTGCCAAGGCTGACACTGATGTACTGCCAAGTTGGTTGGGGTGGCTTGTCTCAGCTGCCAAGGTGAGACCTGAGGTACATGTAGTATGGGTTTTCTTGAAACCCTGAACCGGACCAAAATTCCAGTATTGCCCTGGACCTTGGAGATGGATGGGCAAAACTGGAATGTTACGCTTGCCCCCTAGACTCGATTATGGTACTGCACTAGGTGCCGGATCGAGCTGTCTTTAGTATACCAATCAGTGAGATCCTTAGAGGGGGTCAAAACCTGGGTATGTTGGACAGTCCAAGAATTCATTTGAGTGGGTGATCATAGTGACAGGATCAGCCCCTTTGTCGGGATAAAGTGAATGATCAGGGATGCACTCTCTCTGATGGAAACCTAAACTACCGGCAATTGATTTCAACCGTTAAAATTTGCTTTTGCAATATATATATATATATATATATATATATATATATATATATATATATTATCCCATTGAGGGTAATACTTGATGGGCTAATCTTGCATCTGCCCACAGTCCTTGGGTTTTCATAAGGTGGTTGGACCCAAGGACCATTTAGTATAAATGTTGGGCCCATTAAGAGTCCATAGTGATGGACTGAGGGGTTCACTGTCTCCTACAGTGAATTCGGCCAAGCCTTGTAACAAAGGCTAGAATGAACCCATGTAGCTGATGTGTAGATCAATGTTTGGGTCCCACGCCATACAAAGAGAGCCAACTAGGCAGCAGGTTAAGAGGTTAAGTGAGCACATAAACTTAATGTGCCCAAAGCCCAATTTCGAGCTGAGTTAATTAGATCAATTAAATAGGGGCGGATCTGGGTTTGGATCAGCAAATAAGGATAAGAGGATAAGTCTTGTCCACTTAAAGAGTTTAAATCCAAATAAATATTTGGATCAAGAAACTCCTAATTTGATTAGGATTAAAGAGTCCAGATCCAAATAAAGATTTGGATCAGGAAACTCCTAATCAGATTAGGAAGTTGTCTCTTTAAGGCTATAAATAAGAGAGCAGGGCGGACATGAAAAACACACCAGATACAAGACAGCTATCTGCAGAGTTCTTCCCTGTTCTTGCCGCCCCTACCCAGTTCGATCTCCACTTGTGGGAGTGATCAAGAATTGTTCTTGATATTGCTTCTTGGTAGAAGAAGCAATTTGAAGTCGTGCTCACCAGCCCTCTACTCCATTCTTGCTGAAGAATTCGGTTCTTGTTGAAGAGCCGTCCTGCTAATCCTGCTTCACCACACACTATGTCATCTTTAGTGGAAGTGGGTTTTGGTTATCTCTTTGGGCGTGAACACCTTCATTGGGAGTTACTGCTACTTCGTATCAGGTATATCCCTCTCCTCCCTTTTGGTTTCAGATCTGGTCTGGTTTAGGTTCAAGATTAATCCTTTAAAATGCAGTTTTCTAAAATAGGGAATGTGATTCCCACATGGGAGAGATAAATTTTTGAAAATTCTCCCAACCTTCCTGCAGGGTTCGGCCATCCATATGATAGATCTCTCATCCCTTCAGAAATTATGGGCTAAAATAGTGGTAAGCATACGTGGACTGGAACTAAACAGATTGGATGCTAGAATCCGGGCTAGGACCACAAGCGCTTCGCTTGGAAAGCCATTCATGATCTATTACCAACCTTTTCCCCTTTTATCAAGTGGCGTATGAAAAGGGGAAGGACTATGTGGAGAGGACTAAGGGCAACAGTCTATTGGTCTCTATGGGAAGAAAGAAACTCCAGGATTTTCTCGGAAGCAGAGAGAAGTGTTGAAGATTTGAGGGCTCTGATCCATATAAGGGTTGTATAGTGGATGAAATCCCTACAGTGGATGACATGCTGAGGAAGTGGGGTGAGATTGCTAATTGTACCCAGACTAAAACAGTAATGAGTGTGTCTTGGACTCCCCCACTTGTGGGTTTCATAAAACTAAACTTTGATGGAAGTAGCGAAGGGAACCCTGGACTATTAGGGATTGGGGGTGTTTTCAGGGATGAAAATGGGGTCGTTTCTGCCATGTTCTCAAGCCCAATCGGAGTGGGTGACTCTCTCAGGGCTGAGATCCAAGCAATTATGGTAGGAGTCCAGAAAGCTAGGGAGATGGATATCAGGAAACTCATAATTGAAGGGGATTCAAATGCGGTGGTAGCTTGGCTAAACAAAGACGACACTGGTTTATGGAGTTATAGCAATATGAGGAGGAAATTCAAATGGCTGATTCGAGAAATGGAAGTTAAAATCAGATGGGTAAAAAGATCAGCTAACTCTTTTGCTGATGGGTTAGCTAAACAAGGGGTGGACAAGGTTTCAATGTTCTAGGCATAGATGTAATTTAATTTTCCTTTTTTCCTTTTTCTCTTTCTCTCTTGTTTCCTTTCTTGGGGCTCAAGCTGATTTTGGAAGATAAGAAAGTTTGTCTTCCTCTTTGTAATTTTATTGTGATAATTAATGAATTGTGTTATTGATCAAAAAAAAAAAAAAAACTACCTCCAAGAGGTCAAGTAGTTCAATCAAAGAAGTGCACTTTCCCTTGGGCATTTTTGGAAACCAAGGTTCCAAATGAAACCTGAAGGACAGGATGTTCCCATTCTAGACATTGTTTCACCCTTGAGGTTAGAAAGAGCAAAAAGTTCAGGAAATTAATCTTTTAATGGTGTTTGCCCTATACATAGGTCTTCCCAAAAACAGACTCTGTCACCGGATAGATCTAAGCAAAAAAAGGTATACCTCATGAATTGCTTTCCAAGGAGAAGTTGAATTTTTTTTATCAGCAA